GGCTGGTCCCTGGGTGGTCACCCATCGATGTTCCTCTCTCACATCGATGTTTCTCTCTCTAAAATCAATAAACATATCCTCCGGTGACGATTAAAACGATGGCTTAGCCAACTAGCGATAGCTATGGAAGTGGTTTTCTACAGATTGCCTAAGGCTCCACAGTAGGTGCACATTTCTGTCCTCTCAGGTTTTCGCCGGTATCATCTGCTGGCTGGAATCTGCCTTCTCTCCTTTCCCCTCTCCACCCTCTGCCGTCCTGCCGTATAAGCGGCAGGGTTTGGTGCTCACACGCCAGAGCACAGGCGCCTGCAGCCCGGGCGGCCAGCCTGGTAGGTGGCATCTGGCGTTTCCAGAAGAGCAGGCCGAGGCCAGGCGGGGTGGGTTCAAGGCCGCCCCGGAGTCTCTGTTTTCTTTCTCCTGAGAGGAGGGACTCGCCTGTGGCGCTGCCTTCAGAGGGCACTGCCGTGTGGGCCCGTGCCCTTTCCTACTCTCAGGTGTTGGTGAGGGGCTGCTGAGTCACACCCCTGACATAAGCTTCCTTCAGGGCCATCACCCGGTCATTCTTCAAACAAAGCAGGTCCTGGTCATTCACTTCTGCACTCACATTATACAAGGAGAGCACGAACATCTTAATTAAAAAGGAAATCCCGTATTTTCTCAGTGGATTTAATCATGAGTCGGGAGGTTTGGGTCTAGGTTCTCCAGGCTCCCTCGCTTCGGTCCCCTTCTCTGAGACCCGCCAGGAGAGGCACAGACTGGCCATAAGGTGGTTACCTGGCCCCACGGTTCTGGGTGCCCGGAGCTGCCTTGAAAGGTGGAATTTCTCTCTAAGCCACTAGAGCCAGTATGGTTTGGACAGTGTCTCCTTTGCAATATTGGACATTCTATTTCATCATTTAATAAATAAACAAGCAAACAACCCCAAAAACAAAAGTACTGCCTTTCAGTGTTCTCAGGGCCTGTAGTGGTTTCTGTTTCTCCTCGATGTGCTTCTCCCTGCTAATGAGAAAGCTGCTGACGTTACACGAGTTTGTACACACCACCAATTTCCTTCCTTCCTCTTTTTTCCCCCTTTTCATTTGTTTCCTTCCCCCAAAGCAAAAAGAATCCAACTGCTTTCTTGCCTTGAGATGTAAATTCCACATTTTGGCTACATTGGAGTTCACGTTTTCTGAGAAAAGTCTTAAATTTATTAGGTTGGTCCGCAGTGTTCTCATATAAATCTTTCCTTTGCGGCACGGAGCCATATGTGGTTGGGATTGCTTAAGATAAAGAATGTAAGAGAACTTTGCCTTGTTTACAGAAACGTGGGCTGTGCCTGTTGCTTAAATAATTATCACACGTGATTTTCAAGCGTGGTCCGCGGTGGGTGGAAGGTTGAATGGACTTCTCTGCAGTTTTGCACCCCTGATGGCGCCTCTGAGACAGTGCGGAATCAGGGGTGCTGCGGGGGCCAAGGAGCCTCCTGGAACCCACTACAATTGGGAATTGTTCCCCATCATCCTTCCAGGACTTGGCTTCTCCACAGCATTGAAGAGCAGAAAGTGACTAACAGGTCGATCTCAAACAGACCTTTGCGCGAGGCTGCATCTCAGCAATAAGGGGAGGCTTGGTTCCGTTATTTCTCTGGTTATATTCAGATTTTCTATAGTCACTCTAAAGAGGGGAAACAAAACATGATTTTAAAATAAAAATCGTGCTTTTACAGTGTCTAACTTGGATACATTTATAATTATATATGTGTGTATATATGCAAAATCCATCTAGATACATACACATATATGTAATACACACATGTACAAACACATATACAGACACTGAGGTAAAAGTAGACTGCTGGCAGCAGGAGGCACCAGATCACAGTTCACTGCAGAACACTGATTTCCAGATGTTTGGATTTCAGGAACTAGGCATATAAAAAGAAGAAAGAAATCGGAGGATCCAGCGTGGGTTGCCAACTTCATGCTTTCCAAGATCATTAAAACATTATTTTTTTGGTGCTGGATGTTAACTAGACTTATTTTGGTGATTGTTTTGCAGCACAGCTGATCCCTGAACAACACAGGTTTGAACTGCGTGGCTCCACTTACAAGTGGCTTTTTCTCAGTAGATACTGTAAATGAATTTTCTTTCTTTATGATTTTCTGAATAATATTTTCTTTTCTCTAGCTTACTTTATTGTAAGAATATAGTATATAATACATATGACATAGAAAATGTGTGTTAATTGATGGCTTATGTTATTGGTAAGCTTTCAGTGTAGGTTATTAGGAGTTAAGTTTTGGGGAGCCAGAAGTTAGACATGGATTTTTGACTGCGTGGTGAGGGTGCGTGTGCGCCAGGGCCCCTAACTCCTGCATTGTTTAAAAGTCAACTGTGATGCAAATACTAAATCAGTATTTTGTATACCTGAAACTAATATAGTGTTACATGTCAATTATATCTCAATAAACATTAAAAAAAAATTCGTAGTAAAATACGCATAAAATTTACCATCCTGACAAACATTTTTAAGTGTACAGTTTAACAGTGTTGAGTACATTCATGTTGTGCAATCCAGGATCATTTTGCAAAAGAGAGAGAGAGAGAGACTCCCATCTACTATCCTCATCATTTCATAAAAGAAAGAGCATTTTAACACCAAAAGGGAAACAAGGAAGGAAGGCCGTCATCTTAGATGTAAGAAATTCCTCCCTAACCTGTGATAGAATAGTACACAGAAAAATAATCGTCCAGGGAAAGATAGTAGCACAGAGAAGAACATAGCAAGGAATCCTGTACAGCCGTTGCTCAGATTAAAAAAATCGCTAACCTTCTGCTGCGTTTTGAATGATCTTTGCTCCGGGTCATTCCTGCTCAAGGCGACTATTTGTTGAGTCTGCCTCCCAGACCACGACTACAGAAGTGAACTGTTCGTTACCAGGCCGCGGCGAGAGAGAGCTGGCACGAGATGAAATGAGCTACACCCCTAAGCACACGGTGTGGGAGCTGGTGCTTTTTCACAGCGAGGTTTTGCTGGTGAAGGAAGCTGCGCGTTGGTTTGCATCCTTGGCACGAGCATCTTATCATCAGTGATCCGAGTGCCAGTAGCAAGCAGTTCACGAAGTGGCACGTCAGCAGCCCTGTTCTAGTCTAGATTTGGTTGTGTTTTTATATATATATATTTTTAAATATATCTTTATTGATTTTAGAGAGAGGAAAGGAGAGGGAGAGAGAGAGAGAGAAACATCAATGATGAGAGAGTCATTGATCGAGCCTGCAACCCGGGCATGTGCCGTGACCAGGAATCGAACCCTGATCGCCCTGATCCTAGGCCGACGCTCAACCGCTGAGCCACGCCCGGCCGGACTGGTTGTGTTTTTATAGAAGTGAAAGTTACGTTGAAGCCCATATATATCCATTCCACTATGAGCCCATTCTCGTCTCTTTCTCTCCAAAGTTGACGCCCTGAAGCTGGTTTGTATTCTCCTGGCCCATGCTATATCTGCACGAGCCCTTTAGAGTACATAGTGGTGTTTTATGTAAATGGAACCCTGCTTTATACAGCCTTCTGAAATTTAATTTGGTTCATGTAACATGATTTTGAAGACATCCATTCTGATACACGTAGAACAGCTTTACGGTATTGCTTCTTGTGACTGCACTACATTATGCGTCTCTCCTGTCAGTGGACATTTGGGTTGTCGCTAGGCTTTTGCTAATACAGACCACACCGCAGTGCACATTCCTATGAGCCTTTCCTGCCCACATGAGCATGGATTCATCTAGGGGAGTGACCTTGGAGGAGAGTCGGTGGGTCAAGGGTGAAGTCATGTCTTCGTTCACAAAATCTAATTAGCATGTTAAGCAACCTAGTTGTTTAGCTTTTCAGGTAAATGGGGAATGGGAAAGAAAACATAAGTCAGCTATCAATAAAATTAGTTTTCTGGACCAAATTGAGAGCTTCTGATTGCTGATCTACCTGAAGATGTAGCTCAAAGTCTGTCTGTAATCTAGAGATGATCTGGCGGGTTGGTTACAGTGACTTCTCTTTGTCTTTGTATGTGGGGCAGTTGGGAAAAGCCAACCCTACATTCGGTTTCCCCCTTTCCATGTGAACTAGAAAGTGTTTGTAGTCATGGTCTGGGAGGCAGATGGAACTGGGTGTTGCTGTCACTTGGGCTTTGTTACAGATGACTTTTTTTGGTCCAAGAAAATCCTGTGGGTCAAAACTTGGCCAGCCTTTCCAGCTTGTTTCTCAGCAGGCCTTTCTGGAGTAGCCGTGCTGTTGCTCCGAGTGTCAGATGATCTAGTTTCTTTCTATCATCTAGTCTGTGGTTTCTTTGGACAGTTTGGGCAGATGTCCAGGGAAGAAATGGACTCAGGTTCCTTTGGGGTTGGATGCCACAGGCATGTCCCCAGCTGGTCTGGGGGATGTCTGAGAGGGTCCCAGTGCCAGGGTCCCTGCGTAGCCACCACCAGCCTGGTAGGAGCACTGGGAGTTTGGCTATGGGTGAGTCAAGTGCAGGCTCAAAGAAAAGAGAACTGAGACAATGTCTGAATGTGACTAATGTACTTTATTCACAGCCTCTCTCTTATCTTAGCAAATAGTGGAGTGTTTTGATATCTCTTTAAAAAACAGTAAATGGGAAGACAACTTGGTAAGAAAAAGCTATAGAGACATCAAAGAAAAAAATAAGACTAACAGCCTTTTCATTTATAGGGCTCCCCTCAGCTCGCCCAAGAAGCCTGCTGGTTGACCATTCCCAGAACCACATGGCAGGCTGAGTGACGGGTGGAGCCTGAGAGAGGCCACACATGTGGCTGCCCTGTGTCGATGCAGGTGCCTGACTGATAACCATTTTGTGTATAATTTGGAACATGGAACCACGGTGGTCGCCATGTTATCTGACAAAGCTTTTTCAGTGGCTGCTGTTTGTGAAGTACTTGGTGTTTTGGACATACAGGCACATGTTTACATCTGCAAAATAATTTTTTTTTTTTTAACTTTTGATAATCAGCTGGCAAAGCTTGAAAAACAACAGCAGAGGAAAGAAAAAACCAGAGCCAAAGGGCCTTCTGAATCAAGCAAAGAAAGGACCGCGCCTCGCAAAGAAGACCGCAGCGCCAGCAGCGGGGCCGAGGGGGACGTGTCTTCTGAGCGGGAGCCGTAGACCTCGGGACGGAGCTCAGGTAGGACGGTCTCCTCCCTGCGTAGCGCCGTCTTCCCGCGTTGTGGGCAAACCAATGGCGAGAGAACAGAATGACTTTTGAGGTCGAATTTATTCTGGGGGCGCTTGTCTATAAGCTTCTTTAAATCCACTGACTTCAAGGATGGAGAGAAAAGTGAAAATGAGGGAGAGAGAGGCGCCCATGGCCTGGGGTGTTCACCCAGGAGGTTCTGTGTGTGTCACCGCCCTCAGTTACCTATGTTGACAACTGCTGCTACTATTAGCATTTCCAGAGCGGCCGTAGATCCAGAATCTAGCCCAGGAGCTTCACACAAGCTCTCGCCATCTGTCCCTCCTGCTGCACTTGCCCCTGCCCCTTGCCCTCGGCAGCAGTGGGGACCCCCGTCCTCAGGGGCAGCGCCTGCGATGGTTTCCAGCCTCCTGCCGCGCCACCCTCCACTCCACCCTGCAGGCCTTGCTGGTTTGCTTTTCCTAAGCCATCGCTTCCATGCCTAGAATGAGCCTCAGTGCTCAGAGTGATTTGACATTAACTCCGCCTCCCTGCTGGGTTGATCAGAGGCCCCTAAGATGACCCGACCTGGCCTTCTGCTGGCCCTTTGCTTAAGTTCATCACCCCAGTGAGCACATTACCAAGAGCCTCGTACTGTGGGAGTTCACAGCTCAGGGAGAAGCACAGAAGCAGTTTCGCTGCAACGTGGTGCGTTGTGGTGGTGATGGGGTGTTGGATGGGGTGGAGAAGGGGGTCGGGAGGCTCCATGAGGGGAGACCTCTGGAGCTGGACATGTAGAAATGGGGAGATGAGGGCTGAGGGTAGAGAGCTGCCTCAGCCAAGGGAGGGAGGCACAAGGACAGAGGAGTTTTGGAGCAGAGGTAATGCAGAACAGCAAATCATATACAAGCTGCAAAAAACCAAGGAGAAAATCTGGGGTTGGCAGGGAGGGGGAGGCAGGAAGGGGTGCATATGGGACAGCCGTGAACCCACCTTAGCTGTAGAGCGTCAAGGATTAGAATCACGGAGGATTTTTTAGAAGAAACTAAATGCTTCTGTAAGGTGCCTGTAATACACGTGAAGTGGTACAGTGTTATTTGAAGGCTGACTTAGGGTAGTTTAAAACACATACTGCCTACTCTAGGGAACCACTAACAAAACTGTTTTGAGTTAAAAAAACAAACAACAGCAACAACAACAGCAAACCACTGCCTCAGAGGCACAGCTAGTTTTATACTATGAAATACCAGCGTGTGGACGGGGCAGTGGTTTGAATGTTGACACAGGGAAGCAAAGGGAAGCTCTGGAATGAAAGAGTTTCTGCCTTCTGCAGGGGAAAAAAGGGGAAAAGTGGTGGACTTTCCTTTTAACACATACACACACACACAC